GATCACTCCGCATTAAACAATCGCCAGTCAAAGCCAACCGTTGAGATTGGTAAAACCCTACATTACTTTAGCGGTGGGTACGTACCTACTTTCAAATAAGATCGTTTACATTATAAAGGCCTGGCTACACTATGCGTTTTCTGCGTGCGTTTTTTTGCGAGTTTGCGTGATTTGCGTAATATCGTTCTAGAAAAAAGTTATTACTAATATAGTTCTTTAATTTATATAACAGTTAATAAAACTTTTATATTAATTGAAAGTTTATATGAAAACTAATAAAAAACGTAATGTCGTTTCTTTCTAGAACGATATTACGCAAATCACGCAAACTCTAAAAAACACGCAGAAAACGCATAGTGTAGCCAGGGCCAGGCCCTGAGATGCAAACAAACATGGCCATTGACGGCAGACCATCGAGTCGACATACGGTCCGTCCTGCAGTATGACGACCTTAGCGAGCCCTGGTGGCCAGTCAGACAACTAAAAAGGAGGGCGATGAGCAGATGGCAGCACTATACTGCTCGTCTGCTCCATCCACTGGCAGTCCGCAGGGTAGGTACGGAGGAATCCGTTTCGCACTGCACATATTCGGATGCTAGCAGTTTATGAAGTCGGCATTTAACAAGAGTTTTTGTGTAAATATCTCAAAATAATAAGAGCGCAACCAATTCATGAGAAACTGCCAGCCAATGCGGAAATGTGAACCAAATGAGCAGCTGCCAGCTAGTGCTAACCGAATGATGTCCATGGTCAGATGCGCTGATCGGTAGAAACTTCTTGATCAACAATCAGTAGCCACTCCAACATATTTCAACTCCATTCCAAGCTCCGCCTCTAACTAAAACTAACCACCGATCGACGAATCTCTGACAATGCCGGCCACCCCCGGCCCAACTACGGGTCTCATCACAGGGTGGATCTCCACCACCGGCATGCAGCTCGAGCTGTGGGCGGGTTGTTACCTCCCGATATGGTCACGAAGAGCTGTTGGAGCCAGTCGCCGCGAGTACCCTCCCCTCTCTCATTCCCCAGTCCGTCACGGCAGAGCACGTGCCGGTAGTGAGAGGGATGAGGATGGGAGAGCGAGAGGGGATGGGAGAGAGAGAGAGAGGGGGAAGAGGGAGAGGGAGAAAGGGAGGATGAAAGAGAGACTCGACTACCCCATGAGCGATAAATGGATAGAGGTTGGACAATAGATTAGCGCGATATGAAATTATGCCGAATAAAAACGGCTTTTCTAAATGGTGTGGCACCCCTATACCATTACCTACCCATGACAGCTGTAACGGATAAATGAATTTAATGGGGACACCACTGTTGTGCACGTTCGAGTTCAGATGTGCTCAATGAATCTGTAGGAGGTTATGAAGAATTAGCTTCCATTATTCCAGAGGCAACAGCCAACGCATTTATCTATACAGGCTATTCGTTGTTTGCACGTCATACGAATGTTCAAAGAAGCACGAACGACGCATCTCGATAGGAGATTTGCTCTCACGAAAACGACCGGTCAGCTATGCACACCAGCTCGTCCCGGCTATCACTTCAATCCCGTGAACCAAAACGGTCTGAATTCGTGTGAGTTGCAGAGCTCACAGAGAGGTATGATCATCACACGAAGCCCGCCGAATAAGGCTCCACCGCGGGGTTGTCTGGGCGCTGGAGCAGAGTCTGTCCCTGATAAAAGCTTTTCAAGATATGTTCGATTGACCCATAGCATGTTCTTTGTTCAGAATCGGGCCACATCCAGCCACTGTTTCCTAACGTTCAGCTTCTGTGTCCGTTCGGCAGCCCCAGAGCCGTGACACCACATCGGCCGGGTTTTGTGCGTGTCAGCCCGGACCAATTACAGCGGACCTTGCGCAGACGCCTGGAGGGAAGGGCTCAGTGCAGACCCGAGCTGATAAACGTACCGGTCCACTCCATCTCGTCCATTATAGATAACCGACCCGTAATGCCTCCGCAGCTATATCGCTGATGGCTGGAGCGACCGTGAAGCACGAACTCGGGGACCGAATGCCTTCAGCGCCGACAAAAAGCGGTCGCCGGAAAGGAAGATGGATCAGCCAGGCCTCCCCATCCTTCTATCATCCAGATTCCAGGAGAGAGAAATAGCATAATTAGAGTTCTTAGAGACTTCCCATGGCGATATCCATGGGAAACAGACGACGAACTGAACGTAACGACATAAGCCGCTGGATCGCTCTTATTGAAGCAAGGGCCGATACGGTTCAGTGACACTTGTGTAAAAATAATCTAAAATAACAGCAACAACGGCAACGCATGTCTTAATTTGAAGCTGAACCTTGGCTACAAAAGCTATAATCATACATTCTGAGTTATGACTGTTCCTCTCATAAGCTTCAGATTCAATCAATGCAATGAGGAAGGTAGGTATAGAATATTGAACATGCAAATGAGCGCAAGATAAAGAATTGGCCTGCATAAATGCGGCAAGACCAGTGCAGGGACCGCTACGGACGGTACAGGACGATACTGCAGGAGCAGTAACACGGGTCAGGGTGACGAGAGAGCCTCAGGCGACACGGGAGGCCGATGCTGACTGAACCCCGGTGCGCAGGGTGGCCTCCGCGCTGATTGTGAATCGTGACCGTACGGCCGCCGCGGGACGCGATCCGTTCCAGACCAGCGATAGTCCGCCGGGCATCGCGGACCTTCGCCGGCCACTCTGAACTTCCACTGAAGGCCCGTGTCGAACGCGGTGCGTGGGGGAGAGCGTGACGGCCATGACGGGTAGCACCGACTATCAGTGATAGTGCCGACGCTCATGACGCATCGACAAAGTGACGATGCTTCTGGATTTTCTTATTACATTCTTTGCTGAGAAAAGTAGAAGTGTGAGGACTTTAATTGTGCACAACAAAAAAACGTTCAAAAGTAGGTACGCAACATTAAATAACATTTTACGAAATTCGATTCATCGCATTCTACGCCAAACAGTTTTTAATCATTCTTTTGCTTTTACACCTCTCACCTCACATTTCTTAACTACCATCTATCGTCCTTGTTCTCCATTCGTCGCGCCCTGCAGACCGGGCAGTGCGCCGTGTCCACGGAGGCTGCTCTCCGACCGATCCAGTTACACGGTCATTACTCCCCGGACGATCTATCCCTCGTCCGCAGCCTTCAGCACGCCTAGCGCAGGTGCGAGCACCGACAGCGGCACCAGCCGAGTGGAAAACACCCGTGAGACAGCGAGAGGTCGACGGGTGACGGATTAAAACGTTACCGACCGGCGCCGAACAGCCAGAGCGATCAGCCAGTGACGAAAGTGAGGGGTCAGAGCGGTCGGCTGGGTGCAGATATATGGGATTACAAATGGATACAATAGAGCGCGACGGGCAGGGTTTCTGGCACACAGACGCGAAGAAGACACATCCTGCCCGAGGTTTCCGGCCAACAAAACACGATGCGGTCTAGGTGTACACAGGTTTGAAAAGCGACATCCGCCGGGTGAGCGGTACGACCTCACACATCCTGGCGGCTCCGTTGACATTCAAAGGACGTCCTGCGCCCGTCTAAGGACGGCACACATCCGGTCAATGAATGGGTCTTTTACCCTGGCTCTTCAGCCGTCCGCTCCTCTCGCTCGCCCTTTCTCGTCTCTCGCTCGTCCCTCTACATCGCTCCCCTGCCATTCTGCCAGCGTTCAGAGCCCTGCGCTTTTTCGGCCGGTTTAATTCAAAGACCGGTCGGTCGACAGCCCTCTTTTTGTCGCCGGGTGTCTGGACGGGACGCGTGCGGCCTTCAGCCTTCCACCTGGTGCAGCAGCAGTGCCGTTTCACCGTTCAGCTGCGCCTGCGACGAGCGGCGCGCGAGTGCCGTCAAAACCCGCCCGACCCTCTCCATTGAGAGGCGCGTGAGTTCTAAAGGGCCGCCGCTCGGCTGGGGACACTTTACAGCCGCGCTAATCCCCTCGGGCAGCAGGTGAAGGGCCCGGTAACCGCGGCGGTTTGGGCGGTGCCGCGGCGGTTGGGTGATGGGCGAGAGGTGAGAGCGGTGGTCGCGCGGCGCGGGCTCCTCCAGTGATCTTCAGTCACCGGCCTCGGGGTAGAAGTCCTCAACTCTGCTCGTCAGACAGATATGACCTTCACGAGCCGCGAATACCGTCCGTTTGAAATCACCGCAACAGCTCTCCTGACGTGGATAGTGATTTCACAAGAATGCTGGAGAGCCGAGATATTTGGCGAGGCTGAAAACCTGCCTCCCGACTCAGACAATCCATAATTGGCATAGTGACTCCGAGTTCGGAGTGCTTATAAAGTTGGGGACTAACGTCTTATTTAAATATTACTGGTTTCCTATCACATGGTCCTTGCCAATTGTCACATCTTCTGAAGGATATCTTACGCGTTTTGTTTGACGAACTATGTTGACGCATCCTACAAAATCTATTGACGGAGTATCACTAATCACCTGTCCGCAAACAGTCCCTGTCGACCCCGATCCGCGCACACCAGAGGACAGCGATGACTGTCGTTTTCTCCCCTCCAGACACCCTACGGAACCTCACCGCGGTCAAGGCTCCCACCCGTAGACAGCCTCCCCTCCACCCGAGATCTGACAGATTTGCCGTAAATTACGGACGTTAGCGCTGACCGGTCGGATTCCGGGTCAAGGCGCGGAGCTGTGTAAGTTGCCGGTGGCGGTGCTGGCTCACTATCGCGCTGCACATCGGGTGGTAAAACGTCAGACGGTCCGCGCGGCAGCCGCTCATGTTTGCCGACTGGCCGGATTCAAATGGCCTCGAGTCGAGCCATTGAAGAAGCCATGTTACGGTGCAATATCCAGGTACTTACTCAGCACTGAACCGGGACGAGGCTATTCAAACATACAGCCACTTAAATGGGCAAACACTTCAGAGTCATTTAGCGGAAAATGCAACTCATACAGCAGCCAACGACTAACATTAGCTTACTTCCCTACTCTTATATGGTGGCATGAGAGATGACCCACGTTGCCATGAAGGCCAGACTCACCTGTGGCATGGAGGGCGGTCTGACTCCCTTCTTCCTGCCTCTCCGTCTGGGCGGCACGATGTTATTGTCTCCTCGCTCCTCCGGTGACTGGAACTTAAAGCTATCACTGCGCGAGACCGCATTTCCACTGCGCTCTTTGTCCGCACCGCCGCGCACGCGTCTCATCACTCCTCGGCCCTTCACCCTGAACTCCTGCAGTGTGTCGATGAGTCCGCGCGGCGGCGGCAGCGTCGACGCGTGCAGGTCGTCCGTTGACACCGACAGGCGGGTCAGGTAGAGCGGCGACAGGTCCGACTGACACCGGCGCAGCGCGTACACGTCCAGCGCGTCGGCGTCGATGAACAGCTCGGGCGGACGCTGCTTCTCGGGCGGCTCGGCCGGAAACAGCCGGCCCGGCATAGCGCTCAGCTGCTTCAGGATCTTGGCCATGACGCTGGCCGATCAGTAGAGGGTGGGCATGGTGTCCTGCAGCGGTCGGCACGGGCCGGCGCGGCGCGGCGCGGCGCTCCCGGCGCACCTGTGAACAAATTTGGCGCGTCAGACGAATGGCAGTGTCACCGGCACGGATATATCGTGACCTTGGAGGAGGTGTACGAGTGGATTACCAATGAGGCAGAAGATACGCTCCGAAAGACACCAGATAGCTCTGAGTTTGATGGCATATTTCGAAGAGGTGAATGTACGGAAACAATCGCTCCACACACTCAGGTAGTAAAGGACGGAATTACTCAAGTCACGCAGAGAGGAAGGTTTGAGTTAGTGTGAAAATTGTCCCACGATTGAACCGGTTAGGTATAAGTGAGTCACAAGCGCGTTACGACATTTCGGGCACAATCTGGACTGATTGACATCTTGCGATGAATTTAATTGCATTCCACAATTTTTTTTATCGGAACAATGTTGGCCTGCAACTATAGCAAACCGTTCGATCATTGTGCTCAGTATATAGGTATATGCTCAGCGAATCGGGTATCCACATTCCACAGGCATTATTTATCATCAGTGCCGACAGTTGGGACGATCACGGAACCACCAAACGACAATTCTAACGACTTGAAATGGTGGGCGACCACCGACCGAAGAACAAATAGAAAAAAAAAATAGGCGGTCGGACTATTAGGTGACGAACAATCCCTGACGGGAGCGCCCGCAGACGAACGGACGAACGGTTCACGAGAGCTCGGTTGAGCGGTCCCGTGGAACGCTCCCGTCTCTGGGCAGCTGTAAACGCTTCCCCCGGAGCTCCTGGATCCGCCTCCCGTCTCTCGTCTCTCGTCTCCCGTCTCTCGTCTCTCCGTATCCGTGTCCCCGCCCCGGGTCAGTCTCACCCACAGCGGCGACCAACGGTCACCGTAATTGCCTTCCAAGACCGGCGCTGCGTTTTCAAGCCCCGACAAGGCGTAATGGTCGGTCCGCGCAGCGTGGTGCGGGGAAACTCACCACTTCAAAATCGCCAATTACAGCCTGTGCCGCGCGGAGAAACCTCCGCCGGGCGGAGAAGCGGGACGAGTGACGTGCAGAGTGACCGGGCCGCACATGACGGAACGCCGCCTCTGATAGCGCACCCACTAACGCTGCAGTCACTGACATTCATTGTCGAGAGTTATGACCTTGTGGTGCTGAATGTCCCCGCCCACTCTCCGCCCTCTGTCACCAACGCCGCCGCCCCCCCCACCCCCCCCCCCCCCCCCCCCCCCCCCCCCCCCCCCCCCCCCCTGCGGCCCAAAGGACGTCTGTCATCCGACTTGAGTGACCAGTTGCGGTATTAGCGTCCATCTAATCAGCCCTCGCAGTGTAGGGTGTGCCGAAAACCCGACGTGCCGCACGTACCTAATCAGCGCCTAAACTCTCCGTCACCGCAGCGCCGACGGCGACCGATCTGCCACCTGGCGGCCTTTACTATAAACACCCTCGGGTCGGCGCTACAAGTCAGAGGGGTCGGGGAGCGAGTTTTTACCTCGTGCCATCGATCAAGACCATATCGCTGACAGTCTGGTGTCACGAGCTGAGGCCCGACGCGCCTCTGCTGTGACACTGGCCGTGGTGCGACACGCTGAACTGACATTCCCTGTGACCAGCCATGGGTCTGGGCCGGTCTGAAGGGAGAGGGACGGGCAGCCCGTGCGTTTATTTTGCTACATTGCCATCGCGCCGAGATGGGGCCTATGTCAAAAGAGTGCAGATTCACTAGAGGCAATGATCCTCGCTGACCGGAGTCTGTCGATTACAAAGCTTTGGAAGCGTTATGGCGCTGTGAAACATCTCGGGAGAAGACGATCGTCAGGGTAGGTAGGTCGAATTGTGAGCAATTTGAAGCGTTTTGAGTGAGTTAATGACAGACAATGCCAGGAGATATTTCACATTGCAATGCTAAGTCCTAAGTCCTATACAGACTGGTTGTGAATGAAGAGGATTTGCGGATGGCCTGTATTCCTCGTCAGGTCAGATGACCATGCATGTACTACTTCGTAAAAATGACCGTCACTCATGAGTCACAGATGCCGCTGTCAGCTTTTGAATGAACATTCTGAGCATCGTATGCATGGCTCACCACAAGCGGGAGTCATCGCCAAAAACACAAGCGAGCCAACCTATTTGGGTAATTCCTTGCACACAGACCTAACGACTCATTTCATCCGGCCGTTGCCGACCGAACAATGCCCAATAATATTCCTGTGGTCACTCTGCTTGCCCATGAGGACCCCAAAACGCCTCCGGCAACGCAGTGAAACACACACCATTCAGGGAAACAATCAACATCCGACCAGCAATCGCCAATGACGTCATCGTTACCAATGACGTCATCAGGCCAATGGCAGCGTCTCGCGTCACCACGTCTGCGGTACTGGCGGACCCGTGATTATCCCGGCGCTGCCCGCCCGAGCGTTCAGTTCCGCCTGCAGTGACCCGTCCTATGACTCAGGAACCGCTCGACGGAACGAGCAGGCAGGTGGCAGGTATCGATATAAACGAGGGTGGAATACAAGGAATATACCCGGAGCTGCCGCAGGCGAGTCAGGCTCGCTGATCGGACCGATCGCGGCACACGGCGGTGCACATTTCCGTCGTTTGACGGCGCGGCTGCCGTCGTTTGGCGGTGTTTTCCTGGAGCCGCGGTCACCAGGAGCGTGTAGTGTCCACCTCAGTGTGACGGTATGATGGTATCAGAGACGTTAGACGGTGCACGGCATGGTTAGAGCTCGCGGAAGGCGTCCGGTGTTCACAGGGACACGGACCCACTGGTAAGGGTAGAACCATGGGTAAATACGAGAGCTATAAATATGAATATTTATGTGCAGTGAAAACAACAAAATACATAAAGCTCAACAAAACACGGAAGCGTCTTATTAGCGGTACTGTAAACGCAACTTATCTTTAGGTATCAGCCATGATGGAAGGAGAAATAATGTAAGAATATATGAAAAGACGTTTCCTGAAGGACAGGTAAGTCAGATCTGCTGCTTCATGCACGCTTAGGTGTTGTACTGTTGACTTTTTGCACTCTGTGCCTAGGTTTTGGCATACAACATGTGAATATCATGCAAACTTTTACGTCTGTGTATGAGTTCAGTATCTAAAATAAATACATGCTATGATAAGACTAATTGTAATGGTGTTTCAATTTTGTTCGCAATAAAGTTGACGACACAAATAGGTGTACAATTGCAGAATTGCATAGTGAGGCAAATTATGCAAAACAACTTACGTAAAGCACAGACGCCAGGTTACAAGTATGACGGAAGAAAAGCCAGGCCAGCCACCAAAGTTTCAGCGTAATAAAATCGGTTAAAATCTGTTACATTAGAGTCCCGAATTTTCTCGAGCCAGAGCCACAGATCACCGTTCGCCAAATCTCACTTTCTGCCGTTCGGAGGCGTGCAGACCCGGGTTAACTGCCGCTCACGGACTGCGGAGCTACGTCATGCCGCTTTCGATTTCGATGTCGGGGTCCGGGTCACCACAGGGTATGAGAAAACCACACGACTAATGGCAGGGTGCCTGAGAGGCTTCCGCGTGCGCAGCTGATAGAGCAGGGGTGAAGTGAGAGGCCGCCTCCTCAGAACTGAGGATTTTCCGCCGCGTGTCGGTCGTGAGGTAGGTGGGATAAAGGATGTATTTATTTCAGATGAGTGATGCCTTTGAGTTAAAGAAGTGTGCATCCACAATGCAAGGTTATCCTCATGTTCAATGTCAGAACAGCTGCGTCAGGCCGGAACATGAGTTGATGAAGCCAGGTAGAACAATGAAGTTCTCTTCTAGCGAAATTCTGCCGGTGCCATGTATCATAAGTTTGACCTGGTAGAAACAATGGCCTCTGGGATAAAGCTCAAGGCCAGAGCCACAGCAAAAGGGAAGGCGTAACCTTCAGCCTCAAAGGCAGGAGGCAACGAGTAGTTCACACGTTAAATGACATGTATTCACCATTCGGCTAGATAGTTTCCTCCATGGAAATGTCACGCATTTTGGTATCACTATGCTCAAAATGGCTACAATAGGCGATACGAAGCTCAAGTGCAAGGCATATTGCATAACTCAGCTTTGCTATTGCTAGCTTCGCTACATTTTGAATGAAAGCGCTATGCGGTTTGCAGAATGGAAAAGTCGGTGTAATTCCCCTTAAATAATAAGAATGCATGCTTGCATTTTTGGGTTCGTGATAACTCTTAAACCTTAAACTTTTATGCATGCTGCAAAACCCAGTTCCGCATTATGGCAAAGTTAATGTGGCAACTAAATACTTCCGTGTAAATCCCTCCGTGTTTCGTGCAGTACCGGGTCAAATCCGCCAGCGCTATCGTCCTTGTCCCGCCCTCTAGCAAGGTCACCTTCCAAACCAGGACGGCACAGTTCTGGGTAGCACAGCACATATGGAATAACCGATCACATGAGTGATTAATTGACAGGTATGAATCACCGTATCACGGCATGCAGCCCTTTTCGGGCGCGCCTCGGGGGCGGCGGGGCGCACCACCCGCACCCAGCAACGTGCCGCGTGCAGAGCCAGCGAACCGGGCGGTCAATTGTGCATCCTCATTCCCAAAGTCACCAAACAATGCACTTATCTCATGAATCACATTTCACCTCCATATAAGACCACCGATCTCCAATAAGCCGACGGCAATTAATTTACGTTCGTAACGGTGCCGGTAAAGCCGTGCTGCTCCGGCCAGCCACGAGCCAGCCAGCCAGTGCAGTGGTGGCCGGACAGTCACCGCCACGTCATATAAGGCGAGTGCCGGATCACCGTCCCACCGTTCCGTGCTTCTATCCTCAGGATACAGAAATCCTTCTCCTCCACGCCGCAACCCCACTCCGGGCTGGACAGGCACTTTTATCTCATGCGGGCTGCTCCCTTGGAGCGGCACCGCTGCTCCCGAGGGAGCGCACCCGTAGCCGGGTGCAGTGAGTGCTTGGGGGGCTGGTCGGCCTGTCCATTTGGACGGGCTCAGCCCCGGCAACTCTCTAGGGTGTCTGCCCAGACCAATGTCTCCCCCTAATTCCTATCATCCTTCCGGC